TTACCCTTCTTATCTAAGAGATAAGTTTTCATGATCTCCTTTAGTGATGCTATGGATGTTTCTAGTGAATTCATCCTATCATTCATGACCTTTTATGACTTAGTCATGGCCTTTTGTAACTTAGGTAGAGCCTCCACTTTGACATTTAGTTTAGCGCTGGAGACCATTTGATTGAAAAGGAGTTTTGAGAAATTTCTTAAAATTTTGGGATCAGTTGATATTTTCAGAAACTTCTAGAGTGAAACTGTAATTTAAGAAACTTTTGGGGCCAGGGGCCAAACAAAAATCTTAGAAACTTTTAGGGGCTAGTGTGCAATTTCAAAATTGTTTGGGGGGCTAAAGTGTAATTTTTGAAACTTTTTGGCTAGAAACTATAATTTTAGTAGGGTCAGACGATGGAAATTTTTTTAATCCTTGGTTGGGCTGGATTTTTTTTAATAGGTTGGATAAGTCTTTGGGTTGAGCCAATGTTAATGCGGGCTTGGGTTTTTTTGGGCTGGACAATATTTGGGTTATGGGCATTGACTGAATAGTTTTTGAGTTATGGGTATTGGGTTAAGGTTTAAAGAGGATGGGTTGGAGCAACTGAATTGTTCTTCTTCACAAATACCTAGTGTGTTGATTATAAGTCACCTTCATTCGACGACTTCGGCAATCTTCCACTATTTTTTGCCGCAATAGTGATAGAGAGAGGAAGCAATGGTAAAAGTAGATGGCGAAGATCATAGTGGTAAACAATTCATTTGATAGAGCATTCAAGATAATATTCCAACAAACTTTATCATCCTTTTCCCATTTTTCTTTTTCTCTTACATAATTTTCTGTATTTTATTTGAGTTTTAAATTAATCAAAACAAATGCAACACTTGCTATATCAATTAACATCATAATTCTCTGTTGCCCACTCTTAAAATTAGATTCATTGAAAGACTCAATTTTTGTCACATCAGGAATAGTCTTGTTTATAATTGTAGTTTCCATATTGCTCTATTCTTAAGATTATTGTAAAAATTTCAAGTCAATGAGAATAAAAGTCTTAATGCCTAACAAGTCTCAAATAAAAATTACTCAATAATTAAAAAAAAAAAATTATAGAGCACAAGTGTTAATTGTTAACTCTTTTTCCTTTATCCGTTGTATTTTTCCCTCCATTTGCAAGTTGAAAATTTGAGTTTGATGCAGTACAAAAAACAGAGTGGTGGTCTGCTAGAACTAGAAGGTGACATGCCAATAGAAACGGGCATGTAAGGATGAAGCTTCCCGATTTTCCTCTCTAGCAATGGTAGAATTATCTGTATTGTCATTCTCCAAGGATTTTCACCGCAAATCCTCTAATCTCACAATAGAATTATCTATATCTGTGTCCTCTGGATTTATATCCCATTTCTTAAAAGACCCATCTCTGTAGCTTTTAGTGAAACGTGATTGAAGACGAATATTTGAATGGATGATAATCAATTAGTCAGCTCTGGTAGAATTTAATCTATTTCTCTTGACATTGTGAATAAATGAATATGTACTCTAATTTCTTTCAGCCGAAGAACTTGTAATTGGTTGGGATAACACCTTTTATGAACAAATAATAAAACACATCACTAATGATAATTAACAATAAATTAGCACCTTTTTGTAGCATTTGCTAATTTTGGAGTTTTTGAACCATGTGATAACCACCAATCAATAGCATCCATGGTCACAACATCTGTTTGAACAACCGTCATAGCATAAAGAACCTTTCATGAGTGAAAATGTGCATCATTTTATCGCAATTGTTTTGCTTCTTCTACATCTTCTGCTATCTTTCCAAATGGTTCCATAACTCCTATGCTCACTTCCTTATGTTGATTTGAAGCTTGGTGTTAGTGCAAACCCAAGACAATGCAAAGGTATATTCATCTTCTCCCATCTGTCAAGCACAATTTTTTCAATCTGGGGAACTTTATCAACGTGCTCTCCATCCCTCATAATATCTTTTATTTCACCAAGCATAGTCTCCATCTTTTCATAAATCTCACCCATTTTTTGATCATCCCCATCACAAAATTTAATAAAAAAAATATGAACTTTGTTATACTTGTGATATTCTTCACATCCTCCCAAAATTCTTCACTGATAACGGTTTTTATAACCAAAACATCTAGCTTCCTTGAGTGTTTATCTCCAGATTTCAACAATTCTTTCCATGACTTGAGAACAACGGTAGTTACAAGGGACTCTCTATAGTCAATAAGTCGTTTTAACAAAATATAATGCTATGCAAACCTAGTGTTTGTCACTTTTAATAGCTCCAATTTAGACTGAGCCCTAAACATAGCCAAAGCATGTGTATGGTTCAAGAAATATTTAACAAAGGACTTTTCCCTTCTATAAGTATTTATAAACCAGTCAAATTCCTTTGCAAAGTCTTTAAAAATGAGATTCAGAGTATGAACAATACAAGGAGATCAAAATATGTGTTTGTATACCTTTTTCACCTCTTTCCTTGTAAGTTTACAATTTGTTGCGTTATCGGTCACTACTCAAATGATATTTAATGGACCTACTTCTTTAATGACTTTCAACAAAAAATCATCAATTGCTTTACCTGTTTTTTCTATCCCCAAGAAATCCTCAGTATATAAAAACATAGCGTCACGACTATTTGCAGCAATGATATTAATAAATGGTTGATGCTTCACATTAGTCCACCCATATGATATAATGGATACCCCATTAGAATACCATATATCTTTAATCAGAATCAAATCTTTTTCAACACTCTTTTTGCACTCGTTCAATAATGTAGTTCTTGCTTTTTTTCATAGTTGGGAGCCTTGTAATCTTTAGGTCCTCTATTTATAGCTGAAATCATCTCATTAAATTGAGGATTTCTCACGGTACAAATGAAAGGACGGTATAAGAGACTAAAATGACACAAATGCCCTCATGTACAATTGTCTTTTTAAGGTTACAAGGTTATAATTGTCTTTTTATTACCCATATTTACAATTGTTGACTTTTTTAAGTAGGTATTACACATATAATATTTGTGACAAACAAACAAGGGGAATGATGAGATTATAGTTTAAGACTGAGTAGGAGTGGAATGAAAATGATTTCTAATACCACCCAAATTTAATACTAAAAACAAACAGCCCCTAGGAGTATAATATTTTATATTAGATACATATTTTGCAATGTATAGAAAGGGTAAAAAGTTAAGACTTAATTACGAGATTGACACAACTTAAACTGATGTCACCCTTACAAAAAGGCTACCATAGTAATTTTAACACATTATTCCCGGTCCCACCAGTATACAAAGTTGCCAAAAGACAAATTTATGGGCTTTTTTATATTTTTGCTTCCACGTGCACTACCACTTTACCAAAACTCCAAAATTTATGTCTTCTTCCGTCTGAGGCGGACACCGAATCTGATGCTTCAGCTCTTCGGCAATTCACAACCAACACGAGATCTAGGGAGGTGCTTCGAGATCCAAAGTAAGACGTGATTATCGATCAAGGGGGGGGGGGGAGAGAGAGAGAGGAGGAAAGCACTCCGTCTTCAATGCTTGTTGTTCGATAGATTTGGGTATGCAACAATTTCGTTTGATCTAGCCTGCAATGAAATAAAAGTGTTTATTTATTAATTTTTTCTCTTCTTCACCCACGTTCAATTGATTTTCTTAAAATTTCTATGTTTTTGGAACTATATGCGATCAGGTTTGATTGGTGTTAAGGTTTGGAATTTGGGATTGCTACTTTTCACGTTTTGGGTCGCGAACGCACCCCGTTTGGGGTCTTGTGACCTAGATTGTGGTTCGTATGCTCTTGGACGAATCCTGGTAACCCTGACTAAAACACTATAATAATTCCCTAATCAAACTCACTAATACTCCTAGTCAAACAAGTACTCCTAAATTAGATAATAATAGTAAAACTAATCCCAATAAACTATCGATTACACTTCTCTTTGGACAAAAAAATCTAGTCTTTCGCCTAGGCTTCCAACGTAGATTCTATTGGTCCAACTCCAACCAACCAATCGATGCGCCATCACATATGTTATTTCATCTAAAGGAAATAGGGAACCACTTGAGATCTCCAATCTGCATGAATGTTCTTTCTTTTGAAATAATATGCCAAACTCTTGTTGGAAGAGGAAGAACCCATACGAGTATACTTAATTTTCATAAAATGATGTGGGATTGTGTTTCATCAAGAGACTAAAAAATCTGAAGCAAGCTTCTTGGGGATAGTTGTATCATAAAATCCCATAAACTTCTCAGCTGTTGAAGTGAAATTTTATGCCTGCCTTTGAAGATATTAATGTCGGCTGTCTTCTAAAGTTTCTATAGTGGAATTGACGGTTAAATGGACTAGTGCTTTGTTAATTGAACCCACCACCAAAGTTGGCATCTTCCACCCTGCTGAGTGAGTGTAAGAGACTGATATTGGCAAGGTACATGATGCAAATAGTTAGAGTGTGATAAATAATCAACCGAGTTAAAAACAGTAATAGTAAGAGTATTAGGGTTTGGGAGGAAGAAGAAGAGCAGAGGAAAGAGAGAAAGATAATATTATGTGTGTGTAGGCTGTGTTGCCCTACTCCTTATTCATGATAAGCTGATATTGGGGGTGGTTACAATATTACCCTACGCTATTAATAATATAAAAATAAAAACTCTAACCACCTGTTTCTCTATAGTTGTATGTCTAGAGAGTGTATTGATATTGTATGTATGTTGACATGGTGGTTGTCTTCATCTCAAATTATGCTGTTTTTGAACTGCTAATTTGTATTCAAGCCATTGTGATGCATAGCTACATTGTTTAGTCAATCAAACCTGTTCTCATGCACTAATGTATGTTTACATGTTTGCTTTGTAAAGTGTTCTTTGGGTTTAAATCCTAGTTGAGCGGAAGGTTACATGTTCTGGAGAATAATAGTATAGTTTGTTTTACCTGTTAGCAACCTGAAGGTGGTATTCATATTTTGTTTAAGGGGCTTGGAATAAGATGGCCTTGGTTACAACTGCTGAAGTTTGTGATGCAAACCCACAGCTCATTGTGAGTGGTGAGCTGAGGGCACTCCAGCCAATTTTCGAGATATATGGTCGGCGCCCTGTTTTCTCTGGACCGATAGTTACCCTTAAAGTATTTGAAGACAATGTTTTAGTTCGTGAGTTTCTTGAGGAGAAAGGTAATGGCAGAGTTCTGGTTGTTGACGGGGGTGGGAGTTTACGATGTGCAATATTGGGTGGCAATCCTGTCGTGCAAGCTCAGAACAATGGATGGGCAGGTATAGTAGTCAATGGCTGTGTAAGGGATGTTGATGAAATAAATGGTTGTGATATTGGGGTCAGAGCTCTTGCTTCCCACCCGGTGAAAGCTAATAAGAAGGGAATTGGAGAGAAACATGTTCCAATAACCATTGCTGGGACTAGAATCTGTGATGGGGAATGGCTTTATGCAGACACTGATGGCATTCTGATTTCAAGAACAGAGTTGTCTGTTTGACTATCTTTATACTTGGAGGCTGGAATTGCAAGGATGACACTTGTGGCTATTAAGGTGCGCACTGGTTTTTTTTTTTTTTTTTTTCTATTTTTAATGCTTTTGGGGAAAAATTCTATGTTTTCAATTTCACTGGTGGAACTTGTGAAAAAAACCTGTGTACTATCTTATATTTTGTAGTAACAGCCCAATGCTAATGTATCGTGGTTTCCAATTTAAGTTCATTGTTACCATGATTTTGTTGATGACTCTTAACTATAGCATTCAATTAGTTACATGGGCAAATTTGACCGCAAAAGGTAGTCTGGACGAACTACTTGGAAATATGAATTTCTCCAAAAACTACTGTATTGTTTGGTAATGCTTTTTCAAGTATATTTTTAAGAAATAAACAATTTTATTAAAAAGATAAGCATATTTGATTTCGCAATAGTGATATATATTACTCACCAAGACATTTGATTTACTGGAGCACCCTGCGCTTTGGTGCTCTATGTGCGAATACACTATTTTTGGGAGTGAATTTTGAATTCGTGCTCATTTTTCCCAATTCTTGAACTTAATTTTAAATTTGCGTTATCACTTGTTTAGATGCTTACTCACTATTATTTAAACATCTATTTGACAGGTTTGGATCCATGTCTAAAATATATAAATAAAATTGGAATGATATTCATTGCAAGAGATACTAAAACCCTAATTGAATGCATACATATGTATATACACACATATAAATTTTAAATAAAAATTTATTAAACTTGATACTAAAACACACTAGAAATAATGGAAATTCATAAGAGCACACAAAATCAAACATGAAACTAAATCGAGAAGCAATATTAACTTGTACCTCACGAGAGAAATTCATATTAAAAAAGTGTGTTTGTGGGTATATGAGATGAGATAGTGAATGAAATCTTAATTATGAGAAAATATAATGTGAGTTTACTTATTAAAGAGATGTGTATAGTATGAGGTGAGAGTTAGTTACTAATGATGTGAGTATAGAAGTGGACTTAGTAATTTGATAATAAAAAATTAAATGAAGTGGAAATGAATATTTGTGGAGTAGGTATAACCCCACCCTTTGTCATTATGTATATGTGCCCCTGAAGACACTTTTTGCTAGGAATCGAACAACTAATTTGACAATCCAATTTGATTTGGCTCGAATTAATTGAATTCCAATAAAATTTTATCAAATAATCAACTGACAATTCAACACTTGATATTTAACAAAATTTCATCAAATAATCAAAAAAAAAAAAATTACATCAAATAATCAAAATAAAAAAAATAAAAAAAATCCAACTAATCAATCATCCAATTCTAACAATTTTGATTCTATTTCATCTCAATTTTTATTCACTAATTCAACAAAAAAATAAAAAAAATAAATAGTGAATCACATAATTTTTAAAATGAAAAGCATGAAAAGAGGGGTGGGGGAAGAACTTGAATCATTGACTTATGCCACCTTATCTCAATTCTCCTCACCATTTTCATGGATCTTATAGTCCTCCACATGGAGAGAGTTAGAGAAAAGTGCAAAAATTTAAGTAATAGTATGAAGTATAGAGAAGAAGAATTTTTTTTTTAATGCAATTAATGTAATGAGCATGAAACCAGACTAAAATAAGATGAATACACCACATCAGTTTAAAGTCTAAAAATTAATCACAAGCCATCTATTCATTCTCTGGCATTTTCTCGATCATTTAGTATGCATAAAAAGAAATACTCATTCTACCACATTTCAAATTAAACTGTTTATCACCCAAATAATTTCTTACGAATTCAAATAATCTAAGATATATGTTAAGTGGACTAAGAATGTAAACCAATTCCTCAAATAATATTTTATAATTCAATTACAGTAGCAACCCGATGGTGGTGCACTCCTTGATGGCCATGGCTTAGAGGGGGGAGCAGGTGTCTTAGGCTCCAAATCCTCTTCCTCTGCCTCAACCTCCACGGGATTGAACATATATCCAACGTGTGTCTCATCTGTCGCATGGACTCGTTCCCAAGGGGTTTCTTCGGTCCCTTCCTCTGATCGGTGTCTAGGGTAGTAACTCCCTAACCCAAACATATTCGGGTGATCATGGAACTAAATGGCAGACCATTGTTCACTCTAGACTCATCGTAGGCTCTCCGTAATATCACTAATGACAAACCAGTCCCACTGGCATGTAAAAGGTAGACTCGTGCGGTAGAAAATATGGATATGTGGGTCTTCAAATCAATATTGTAGTTAGTGATCAAATTAATCATCTGATGCTTCTTTATCAAATCCTTTTGAAATCACTTTTGGCGGTTCCCACCATCAGGGTGAGGAGCTCCATACAACTCAGATGCAACATCACTAAGCCTTGATACCTCACTGTAAGGTCAATGATTGGTACCTTGGGTATGTGTAGGGTGGTAGCACTCAAGTTAGCAGAGAATTCGAATAACACTCCTTGAACATAAGTCATGAAATGCTCTTTATTGACAATGGTATTCCTATGTGTGCTCCAAACTCTCTGACTATCATCTCATTCGCAGGCTCAGGGGCCATGAATAGCTCATTCTATCCTCTTGACTCGAAATTCAAAAGGATAGTAGTGTCACTTAGCCCAGTGAAGTCCACACCTTGTTCCCCCACGACCTGATGTCTAGCAAACTGTCTCATGTATAGATCACGATAATGTGGATTTAAAAATTTACTCCTCTCATCAAAACTACATACCTCAGCTCTCTTCTTTGCTATTGGTAGCATTTTTTAAAAAAAATCGGTGAAAAGGTGCAAACACAAGTGAAGATCATAGATCTAAAATTAGATCACACCTAACATCACTCTAAAATGTGTTTAGTAGCTTGGTATAGCCTTGTGTATGGAGGAAAGTAGTCAGGTTCGTGTGTGGAGTAAAGAAATGAAGAAATGGCATTTTTATCTCTGCCTGGATCGAGAATCTACGTAGGCCGCTCAAGCAATGTATGGGTCGCTCGAGCAGTCTCTGCGGCAGACCTATTCTGCTTCTAATTCACTATTCCTCCTTAAATTAAACACTTATGCCCCAAATGTCATGCATGAGTGTATGTACAACCTAAATGCTATTATATGCACGTGCATAGATGAAATAAGGATCGAAATATGTAATGCAATTTTCAATTTCGACAATCTAAATGTGAAATATCATTAATTATCACACATATTCTCATTAAATCATATACCTCCCTATTTCATCAGGTAGCACATTACTCTAAGGCATATTAAGACATATAGAACTCAATTTTCATGCATCTTAGAGCAATGACCTCTCACTTAGTTCAATTTCAATCAAACGTATTCAAATTTTGCATTTGTGATCAATTTATGTGCAACATATGTCAAACTAAACTCCAATACAATTAGAATTCCGTTAATATCAAACCATTAATAAGGCTCTACATGAAATCTTAATGCATTGTCTAAGTGAATATATAACCGATTAGTGAGTGTCCTAATCCATTTTCTTTTTGGGCACTTCCCCTATTTTTACAGCCCTTTTACTCATATGACTTCAGTTTGCACGATTGTGAATTTCGTATTTTACATGTTATGCTTCTAAACGTTGGTAGCGTAGCTCTTCAAGCTTTACATGTGAGCAAAGACATTAACTATATAATACTTTCAACAATTCAAGTGCAATTGATACTTAACTATTTATTTAATGACTCACCTTTTTAGATTTGACCACATTGAGTTCTTTTCTCACAATTGGCTCCCTGTCATTTTTTAAAGGATTAGGATTTTATTAACCTTTAGCTATTTATTCACTTATCACCAGCACTTTGAGTCATTTATCATCCAATATAACTAGACTTCCAAGTATGAAGGTTGATGTGTACTTGGTTTTAAGAATTTACACAAAGGACACATTATCCAAGCATGCTTGGTGTTAGATCATGTTTTGGAATTGACTAATTTCGTGGAGTGTTCTATAAATTTTAACCTATTCCATGGTTATGATGCTACAATAATGAAGATCTTAGAGCATACTTGAATAGAGGAGATCATGCATTAAATCTACATCAAAAACACTTTGTATGCATCTTCTTGCTTAGGACAACGTAATGACCTAGATATGTATCGCCCCAAGATCCACCTGGAAGGCATTACAATCTCCAACTATTCATATCATAAGAGCAACTAATAAAATCCATAATTAAAAGAAATTCCATTCATCTTCCATAATAACTAAAGCATTATCCAAAACAAATACGCCAAACCATGGCAATTACATTCAAAAACCAAATAATATCTTGTAGCGGAATAAATAAAATATTATCCTTAACATTATCTCATAATTAATCTCTCAACCTAGAACATAAATGAAACATCTCTAAACGTCCACCTCGGAATTGACGTTTTCATCAATCTAAGCTTCCCAATTTACCTATTCATCCAATCTGAGTTCTTCCTCTAGACCGTAATCTAAAAAAGATGTTGTTTATAAGAGGTGAGCACTAAGATATGTAGGAAAATCCTCCCAAGCTTGAACAAGATTTTGAAAACATATAAAATAAGTCGATTTCATTTTACAAAATATCATATATAAATTTTGAAATAAAAAAGTGACAGTTCATTAGATCTCAAGTTTACGTAGTAGGAATAAATTAAATGAAGAAGCAAAACCAACTTTCAGATAACAAATCATTACCAACACTGTATCTCTGGTATGTAGTAAGACTTAGAATGAATACACAAATTGAGAATATGTTGGACCAAACACATACCCTCAATCCTCGCAAGGATAGACTACTTTAGGAAAGACGTATACTGACGAATTGACAGTGACGAATCCAACCTAGGAATAGTATACTAGCCCCCAGCCTTGATACTCGTGTACGAATAGTGATTTGGTCCTCACAAGATACCAACCCCACTACGAGTGGTAGGGAACCTTCAAACCCACTCGGAGTACGAAACACATTTACCCACTCTACGATACCCGATCAACAGTCACCTATGTTCATCA